CTGTCCTGCCTCTTACTCATTGTTCTTCCAGACAGCCACTTCCTTGACAGCCTGTTTCCCTCACCAGAGGAGGCTAGGTACCCCTAACATATGTTCCCCTAGCGAATTTACCACAATTATAATTTGATGTCCAGTGTCTACTCCAGCACAGATTCAAGGCAGCAAGCACATCTCAAAATGGCTGGCACACAGTAAACAGTGTGCTGAATGAATAATAATGAACTACACAAAAGGAGATGCTGAGGAAAGCTTTCCACATTTAAATAACTATTGCTATCTTTAAAAAAGAAATGATTTTAAGCTAATGATGTATCTAATTCCTGAAATGAGAACTATAGGTATGAGGTATGTTTAAATGTATTAAAGCATGAATAGACAAAAAGAGAAATGCAGAAGCTGAAAACTACCTCAAGAAAGGCCATCAAATCGCTGAGAGAGCTCAAAAAGGAACTGAAAAATAGTTGACTCATCTAAACAACCTATACACATTTCTGGGTCCCATATATAATATAGATGAGGTACAAAGTATAATTACTGATTTACTAAAGCAGATTCTTCCTATAAAAGGAACTGCCCCTTGTTAAATCTACTGGCGGTAGAACAATAAACTTGTAATACAGAATTTAACTGTGTTACAATATGTGTCATTAAGAACTGCCAACTCAAGCAAGAGTACTAACTAAGATGACTTATACTCATCTACTTTCCTGAAATGACAAATTTGCTTGTTGGTGTGTATTTTAATTTAAATATTAATTTTATTTAGCACCCGCTTCCATATATGAGAAGGGTTCAAAAATTCATGGGAAAATCCCAATCTCTTTTAATTATATTTCCCCACAAACATTTTGAAGTCCCACCGTATGTAAAATATAATGGTTCTCCCCCCTTAGTTGTAAAATACTGGAGTAGGTGATCTGCCTGCCTTTTAAAGGTTCTCACGTTCTAAACCAAAGAAGTCAGAAAATTCAAAGTCATGGCACTCTACAAAAAACAGATATATCATTTTCTACTAACCTTCATTGTGGTGAAGTAACAAGTCCCCGAAGCGAGAATAACAGGATGTTAGGATCATGAAGTTTCCTGTTATTCCCAAACTATATAGCTTTCTTACTTGGATACCAGGAAGCATTTCATTGGCTAAAACTGCCCACCAATGGGCTTCAGTATGACATCAGAACATACATGAATATGCATTTACACCACACTACTGAACTGGAAACTAAACAAGGAGCTAGGACAAGTGTCTGCCACTTGGGAGGGGGCACGGTTGTGGGGGGAGGGGGGTTTCATATTCTTTGCCAGTAACATGTTTTGACTGAAGCTCTTCTCTAGAGAAAGGTAACAGGCTATTTCCCAAAACAGAAATCTATTCAACAGAAAATTAAAATCTTAGCGTATAGAGCACATTTTTATTATGGGAGTAAGAGGAAAGGCCCACTTGGAATGGTACAGAAATATCTCTGCAAAACATAAGTAACAGAGAAAAATGATGCGGACATTGAACAAGCTAAATTGTTTGCTAGGGCTAAGGCAAAATAAATGCACAGATTTAAAAAGAACTAATCTGACCCTCTAGCCTTCTTTCTCCCGCAAACTAATTTTCTAAAGGACTGGCGAGTAGGAGTCAGCACTTTAAAGAGTCCGTTCCTGGCAAGAGAAAAAAGGAAACAGGAGGGAAGGAAGCGGAAACTATATTCTATTGTCTCCAAGCCTTCCTTCAAGCTGCATCTGGAGCAGTGGTTCTCAATTGCATATGAGAATCTTTTGAGAACTGGAAGAAGAAAAAAAATTCAGACCAATTAAATTAAAATCTCCAAGAAAAGAAACCAGGCAGGCACGGGAAAACCTTTAAAACACACTTTGTCATTCCAATGTACTACCAAGGGTGAAAATCACATTCTGGTGTGACAACAAAGAGTCAAATGAAAACTACTCCAAAGACAAGTTCAAGAAGCAGCTTCAAAGAGCCCACAATAAAGTGATTTATTAAAGAAAGAAAAAGATAGTGGGGAAAATGGAGTTACAAGATAATGGATCTCAGCCCTCACCAATACCTGGATAGAATGAGTTGCTAGGCCTGGGGATTTAGGACCATAGCCTCAGGGGGACATCAAGGTCAATCTGTAGAAGTTCTACCTCCTGTTTTGATGAGCAGCTTCTGGGGTCTCAAGAGCAGCCGAGTGAAGTACAGCTACTGGCCTCCTCTTACCCGGAGAGCGAGGGGACGTATGGAAACGAGGCGTCCTACTAGTCAACCAGGCAAAACCAGTCTCACAGCCCTGAGACCGGAAGAACTGGAGACCACTAGCAAGTGCTCTGAAAGGGTTAACATTAGGAAGCCCTACGGATAGAGGGGGAGGGAAATGCGGAATGAAACTAAAATCATCAACGTGTCAGAAAGACACTGGTGACACCACCAAGACACTGGTTCTTTTCAGATCTGGAACTGACCTGACGCACTGTAGCTCTGGTTTCAGCCAAATAGTAAGATCTATTAACAGGGGTGCTCAATACGTCGGCGAGGATCTACTAGTCCATCGCAAATGTAGTGTGGGTAGATCGCATGGCATGTAAAAAAATAGACGGAAGCCTCTCATCAATCCCGTCACTTAATTGATATACAGTGCAGCCAATCAGATGCAATCCTAGGTGTCAAACGCATGCGCAAACAACTGCACTAAGTGCAGCAAAACTGATGAGCCAAGTTATAGCCAATTTTTAGACCTTGGTTTTTTCCTCTTAAGCGTAAGAAAGGGTATTCAAATGAGTGGGGGACAGCTGGTCCAAGTAAAAAGACAAAAACGTATCACCTTCATACGGAATGGGAGATTTCGACATGACAAGCTGACATTCAACTGAAGTCCAGAGTCATGAACAGTTCTGGAACTTACTCGCAGAGGGAAAGTACTCAAATATGAGAACATGTGCTACCACCTCCTCGACTGCATTATTCGCCTCCACTTAGTTATGGGAGTCAGCCTTTTCCCACATAAAGATCATTAAGTCCAAGTACCCTTCCACCCTGACTGAGGATCACGTGGAAGTGTGCTTGAGGCTGGCCGTCAGCCCCTACTGTCCGGACTATGCAGCCCTGGCTCACTCCATTCAGTGCAAGTCATCAGAATAAACTCAGGTCATGACAAAAAATGTACATAGTTCATTGTGTTGTACACAGTTCATTGTGTTGTGCAATATGGACTCATGCGGTTATGCAAGGTACATAAACACATTGTAATATAAAGAATTCTCAATGCACTTATGAATACATGTAATAAATAAATATATATTTTGCATTTTTGTAGTTGGTAGATCATTTTTGACTTGATCATTTTATAAGTAGCTTGCAGGACGAAAAAGTGTGAGCCCCCCTGGTCTGTAAGGAAACAATAACTAGCGAGGCATGCACCCTACAGTATCATCAATCATTTAAAGATCCAAATGGCAATATTTACCCAAGGTCCCAATTCAGACAGCTTAGCAAAGGAAGAGGGATAGAAGCAGGAAGCACGGGGAGGAAGTGGGTAAGTGATGGTATACGAAGGGAATGAAGCAATGCAGGTGATGAAACAAATGTGCATGTAGAACCGAGGATCTGCTTTGTAAGCCTTCACCCGATTCACAATACAAAGTTTGGAGGGACCATGAAATTTTCCCCCAAACTTTTTGAAAGCCCTTCATTAACTCCATTGACAAGTCAGTGATTCGAATGGACCCGCTGCTCTTCAGGAGAAAGATGCAGCAGTCTGCTTCGTAAAGTTTTACAGGCTTGGAAACGCCAGGGAGCACCGGCATCGGATGAGAGAGGGCTTTCAAGACGGAACACTAAGTAAGCAACAGCTTCCAGATCCTATTCATTTGAAAGCCCATGACAAAACCCCAAACTTGTCTCTACACTTATGTGAATTATATGTGAAGCAGAATAATGTTGCCAAAATAAAATGATCTTAACAGTTTTCCACCACTCTTCATAGTATTATGTTTACTATTTATAGTTCATTTTCGGTCATTTGCTTTTAATAGGAGCAATACTAAGAAATGAAATACCACAAATACTAAACAATATAGGCTACAATAGAAGGAACCAGAGTAATCTGCATTTCAAAAGAGGATGCAAAAATACTAAGAAGTTTCTATTGTCTCTAGTAAGGGAAGACAAATAATGCTGGAGGAATATTAAACTGCCTATTGTAGGAGGAATCAGAATGTCTACGAAAAGGGCAAAGTCTGCAAATTATGTAACTGTTCTGAGTCTCGGGTTCCTAATCCTTAAAA